TTACAGCAATAGAAACCCTAAGACGGTGCCCCTGTCAATCCCAGTGGTGGTGATGGCCAGGGAAGATAAATGCCACTGTCTTCTTCCATGGACACTGCTTTATAATTATCCAATTTCTAACTGGACATGTGGAGCTACTGTCCATTTCCCTGGTAAATTCTAATGGGATGAAACAGTTCACCATGTTGTCCTCCAACCTTCTAGAAAGGTTTATGATACGTGGCTACATTAGGTTGGCTTTTAGAAATGTGGCCTGGCATGGGGCAGAGGCAAAGGAAAATGTTCAAGAAGTCACAGAACCTGTTTCTTCATTGATACCTGTTGGGGCATCACCTGTGGTCAAATTGGCTAACAAGGAAGTTTATAGACATGATTTAATGTTAGCTTATCACTTAACAAGTTCCCTCATTCTCACGATGATCTTGCAAGATAAGCATAACCTAGTAAGTGTTCCCTTGGAGAACTGAAATATTTTGCCTAAACTCACAAGGTGACAAGGGTCAGAGCGGTCTTCAGTTATGTTTTCCATGACAGCAAGCCACAAACTTAGATGTACCATACTGAAGAACATCTCCGTAAAGGGCCTGATGGAGATTGCCTCATTTTGGACTTAAACACAACCTTTGCAGCCCTAGAAAAGCCTCCCGTTACAGAGAGGAGGTGTGCCAGGGAGCAGTCACAGGGCTAACTGTGTGTTTGGAGGCGATCTGCCCACCTCAAGGCAGGTGTCTGGAAATGATAGTTTGACACCGGAGCTATTACTTGATGGCTTGTTCCAAGCTCATCAGAATCGTGACAATTGGAGTCCGGGTTAAGAAATGAACAAGTGATGAAAATTGCAATACAACTGTCAAAATTTGGTCGTGGCATGCTTCAAAGGATGACAGGACGCTGGAAAAATTTCCATGAATTCAGCAATTGACTTTCACACCAGCCACTCCATCAGAGGATAAACTTGCCTTCACAAATCAGATGTAAAATGTTACCCAGAGTTCTAGGTCCCAGCAATCTCTGGGAAGGAATTGGTGGGGCACACCTCCCTCACCCTGGGGGGGAGCTGTTTGGTCTACAGTATCTCATGAGTTTGTATCTTTTTCCAGCCCTTTTCTGATTGACCAAGGATGTTTTGCCTGGTATGACATTTAATACACTGGGCTCTGGAAATTGGATCTGTCTGGCCTGGTTCTCCTTTGGGAGATGCCAGCTTTCTTCTTTTTAAAGTCTCTGGGAAAATAGGTCCAGCATCCCCTGGCATTGTGTACCCTTTAGAAGGAGGTTTATTTAATAAGTCATGCATTCTCTCAGGGATTGGAGATACTGTGGAACAGGCCAAGGAGTTAACAACTGGACTGCTATAGAAATCTGAGGAACAGCTCAAACTTGGGAGGGGCACATCCAAACTGATGAATGATAGAGGGTTAGGGTTTTTCTTGCATCTGTTTTAAGTCTCCTAAGGGACCTTGGACTTTTTCTATTTTTTATTTTTTTGTACCAAGCTTAAATATTGAGCCAAGCAGGGTGCAAGCAGAGCAGACACACACACACACACAACCATGCATTCAGTACTATCATGTCTCATCAAGCTATTCCTCTGCTTTTGTGTCCAGAGTCAAACACCCCAGTATCCCCAGCGTCTCAAGTGATAAAGTAAAGCAGAGGTGCAAACCACTGTGGAAATCCACTGTGGAAAATTCAGATTCTGTCTCTTTTCTCAATGAGAAGGTGGGGCCCTGAAGACACTACACAGGTAAGACTCGGGCCTTTGGGATAGTATTTGAAGAATTCAAGTGGATTCGCAAGTATTGTTTCATAGGCGTGGTGGCCCAATGCAACATGAAAATTCCTGTTCTTGTCATCGTCTTCTTTTCCTCTTCTTCCTCCTCCTCCTCTTCCTTGACACATGTACTCCTGGCTGGCCTGGAACCTGCTCCGATGACCAAGCAGGCCTCCAGCTCAAAGATCCACTTGTCTTTTGTTGTTGTTGTTGTTGTTTGTTTGTTTGTTTGTTTCGAGACAGGGTTTCTCTGTGTAGCTTTGGAGCCTGTCCTGGATCTCACTCTGTAGACCAGGCTGGCCTCGAACTCACAGAGATCCAACTGCCTCTGCCTCCCAAGTGCTGGGATTAAAGGCATGTGCCACCATGCCTGGCTTCTGGACTTGTCTTTTGATAGAAATGGTCAATTTTATGCAATGTCTGTTGTTACTTTGTGTTGGGTACAAGTGAGTATAAGATTGAGTTAGAAACCCAGATCCAAGTCATCTATGATCACAGGAGCTTTTTCACACAATCACTTTTAAATGGACAGCCATGGCCTTGTTTGGAAGTGGTCTGAGGGCCTGAAAGGGCAATTTTTATAGTGGGAAGACAAAGCTATAGGAATGTGACAGCAGCTTGTCCTGCAGTGCTGACAGAGAGGGGCATCGGACAAGTCTGGAGCGTCCCAGAGGTGTGTGCGACTTCTGCTGTGAAAGCCTGCCTGTGACCTGGTGTGTGAGCCTCTGTATGAAAACAGCGGGACCAGGTGTCCATTTGTTCCGATATCACAATCTAGGAATTGCTACATGCTGCTGACTTAAAATGATATCACATTTTTTGTTATTTGTCCTTGATTTTTTTATTCAAAGTATAAAAATGACAGGATTTATCTTAGTGCTCAAAATAAGTTGTTCCAGCCAAACCAGCTTTAATTTTTGGATTTACCTCACTCCCTTGGTGTCAGCACAGCAAGCCTTATATTTACTCCTTGACCAGCAGGAAGAGGCCCAGGCGAAGCGTTCTGGCAGCTGCTGATGTGGTGAGATGGTTCTCTTTCACCTTCAAAGTCTAGGTGGGGTAGTTTATCGTGTGCTTTTATATCCCTTAATAGGGAGTATATATCTCTCCCAGAGAAACAGCTCCATCCATAAACATCAATCACTGATGTTTTTAAGGTGTCCTTTGAACATTAAATAACCACTGTGTGAACGTCGTAGATTAAAGAAGAAATCAAGAGCTTGATTGATATCAGGCATCCAAGATCTGTCTCAGAGATCCATACTACTGATAGGAAAGACAGTCCCTCCTCTGGAGTCTGTTTCAGGCATAAAATATTAAATAAGAATTCATAAGGGGCATTTTACTCACCTTAAATCAATTCGCCTTGCTAACAGCCAGGGTTAGATGTAGTCTGTGGTCTTTAGCTCTTACACAGAACAAGTGAAATTCTTAGATAGAGAAGACCTTCGACATGAACCGTGGAGGGAGAGCTCTGCACTGGGGTCAGCACATCTGGGATGGGATGCCTACTCCACTGCAAAGTGCCTGTGAAATTGTAGCTGAGACTCCTTAGCTGTCATCTGTAATGTGGCCAAGGGGTGTGTGTGTGTGTGCGCGTGCGCGCACACGCGTGCGCGCACGTGCACACACACTCATAAAGAATACCGGTTAGTGTTTTATCAACCTGATAGAAGCCAGAGTCATCTGGCAAGAGGGAACTTCAATTGAGAAAATGCCTCCCTCAACTGGTCTGTAGGCAAGTCTGTGTGTGTGTGTGGGGGGGGGGAGGGTGCGTACTTTCTTGATTAATAGCTGATGTTTGAGGGCCCAGTCCATTTTGCATGGTGCCACCCCTAAGCAGGTGGTCCTGGATGGTATAAAAAAAAGCAAGCTGAATGAGCTATGTAGAGACCAAGCTAGTAAGCAGCATCCTTCCTTGGTCTCTGCTTTAGTTCATGCCCTGACTTCCCTTCATGCTGGACTGTAAGACGAAGTAAACCTTTCCTTTCCCAGGTTGCTTCCCATGGTGTTATCAAACCAATAGAAAGTAAACTGGGGTGGGATAGGGGTGTTGTTAGCTCAGGCTGGCCTCAAACCCCTCATCCTCTTGCCTCTTAGGTGCTGGGATTATGGCATGTACCACCATGTACTGTTTATATATCTTAATATGTATACTAATCCTAGCATTTGTGAGGTAATGGCAGGATGATTGGGAGTTCAAAACCAGCCTTGGCTACATAGCCAGTGTGAGGCTAGGCTGAGACGCAGCAGACTCTGTCTCAAAAACAAAACAATATACAGATGATAGATAGATAGACATATATGTATCTATGAGAATTTAATGGGCTAATAGATATAAAAAGCTGAGTACAGTGTTTGCAATGGTATAAACACTCAGTGGCTATTGTGAACATTATCATATATTGTTCTTAACTATTTGTTATCAAGTTACACAAAAATATTTAAACAACTGCCAGTTACTATGGATGTTGTTATCACTGCATTTTACTCTAGTCCTGCATTGAAATGAAAACCAGAGACAACAGTACCAAGGATTAGATCAGAAACCACAAGCATGGTGCTAGACTTGAGGAGGTCCAGTGCCTCCAACTCTAGCATCAACGCAGGTCTTAGAGACCATGAATATCAGGTCCTTCACCACCGGGCTCAAGAGTAAGGCCCAGCAAGGAAGGCCATGGCTTGAGTGTGACGGGTGCTGTTCAGGCCAGGAGCACCTGGCTCAAGTCTCTCTTGCCTTGCCCTTTAGGATTCGCAACAGATGTCATCTATTTATTTATTTTTTGTGCCCGTATGTGTCCGTGTATGTGCATGCATGTGGTGGCCAGTTGTCCAGACATCGCAGGTGTGTGGTACCTTGGGCATCACATACCCAGGTTTTCTCTTTCTTTTTCTTTTGAGATGCAGTCTCCCACTGGCTTGGGGTTTTCCCAGTTCTAGCAATCTGTCTGTCCAGCGAGCTCCAGGAATGCTCCTCTTTCTATCTTCCCAGCTCTGGCATCCCAAGTGCACACCGCCACACTTGGCTTTTTTTTTTTTTTCCAATGTGGGTTCTGGAAACAACTCAGGTTCTCATGTTTATGAAACAAGTAGTTGACCAAGTGATAGTGCCAATACATTCCTTTTGGAGTTGGCTTTTTTCTAACACATACGTGTATGTATGCACACACACACACACACACACACACACACACACACACGGAAGCAAGAGACAAATTCTCCGTACCTGTTTGGACGATGACCCGCTTGAAAACCGGGATCTGTCACTTGTGTCATTCCCCCATAGCTGATCCTGTGTCTTCTCGTTTGGGTCTTTTTTGTATTCCTGTCGTTTCAAACAAGCCTAGAGAACACACAACAGAGATGAGAACATGGCTTCTTTCTCTTGGGTCTGTGACTAGTTTAGGCAGCGTCAGGCTTCATACCAATGTGAGAGGCACAGGGAAAATGATATTTATCTCCAGCTGTTCATGAAACATCTGTCACCAGGTTCAAAGACCAGGCGTCACTCTCTTCTCCCTTTGCCCAAAATGCCAGATCAAAACCATCAATCACTGCTTTAATAAATACAAACAATAAACACAGCATGGGACTTTATGAAGAGTTGTTTTTCCTTTCTTTTTAAAATATCTTGTTTATGTCTCTGTGTACGTATCCATATGTGCCCATGTATGCACAGGTGCCCTCGGAGGCCAGATGATCCCACCAGATCCTTTGAAGCTGGGGTCACAGGGTGAGCCACCCTATGTGGTTGGGGAAGCGAACTCTCATGCTCATGACTGAGCAGCAAGTGCTCCTGACTGCTGAGCCATCCATCCATCTCTCTAGCACCTAGAATAGCTGCCTTCTTCCCGTCTTGTTCCCCTCCGTGGCACCCCCTCTCACCACCTCTTGGGCTGATCGACTCCTGGGTCATTCCTTAGTTCGAGAAGACTTTTCATGCATCTGCCACATGCTGTTCCCTCTGCTCAGAATAACCCCCCTGCGATGCCTTGGCTCAGCCTGCTGATCACTAAGATCCGCCGTGTGACATCTCCTCTTTCCCTGTCTGCCCACTCTTCCCTGGGCTGAATGAATAGCTAATGAAGCAGTGGACGGTAGCCTGTCTCCAGCTGCAATTTCAACAGTTACCCATAGTCATCTTTGGTCCACAAACATGAACTGGAAGATTCCAAGAATAAATAATTCATAAGTTCTCGCACCATTCTGAATAATGTGATAAAATCTCACTTCATCCCACTCTTTCCTGCCCTGGACATGAATTATCTCTCTGTCCAGCATATACACACTCTTCAAACCACACTCCTATTGCTCACTTCATAGCTGTCCATTTATCAGCTCTGCCGCGGCCTATCACAACACTGTGCCTGAAGCAGTCCTCATGTTTTTAATGATGGCCCCAAGGGCCAGAGCAGCGATGCTGGCAGCTGTATTGCAGGGTGTCATCAGATCTGCCCTTTTCACCAGTAGGCAGCATTGCTGACCTTTTACGGGGCCTAATGGGAGGGGCCAGGTTTTATTGTGCTTACAGTTCCAGGTTCCAGTCCATCAGAAAGGGAAAATCCAGGCAGGAACTCAAGCAGTTAGGTCACAGCCCGTCAGGAGCAGGGAGAATAGACGCATGCAGGCCTGCCTGCTGACTGCTTCCGCTTAGCCCGCCCTCACTCTCACACAGGGCCCAGCCCATGCAATGGTGCCATCCAGGTTTAATGCAGCTCTTCCATATTGAATGCAGTTAATAATCAGGACAATCCTCCATAGTTGAGGTCCCTTCTCAGGTGATTCTAGGTTGTGACAAGTTGACATTTAAAACTATTGGGGTGTGTGTGTGGTCTTGGAGGGTATCCCTGTGAGTAAAGATGGGGGCTGCTATGTATTAACACAAGGCTAACACATGTAGTTTGAACTGTACAGTTTTCCTAGTTCACTGTAATTGGTTCTGTTTTACAGTTCATTTCCCCAGCTGGCCACTAAGAATTTGAGGAGTAAGAACCACTTCTCACCTTCTGAATTTTCTAGCATCTTGAATTGCATTTATCATTTTTTTTATCAGTTTTAAAGTTGGCATTCAAAATAATGGATTTCATCATGGCGTTTTCATACAATGTGTATAGCATTGCAATTTGCTCATCTTCACCGTATTACTCTTTTGCCATTCCCTTCATATATATAATTTAAAATAATTTAATAAAATATAAAAATATTTTTGAGAACTTCACACTTAGTACTGTATATGCATCACTTATACCTGCTTCCTCCTCACTCCACTTCCTCCCAGGTCCCTCCCACCCCTTCTCAAGTTAATGAACGACCTCTTCTTCTATATATATACACACACACACACACATATATATATATATGTATGCATATAATTTGTATTATGTATATCCTACTGAGTACATTTAGTGCTGTTTGTGTTTAGGGCTGACCAGTTGGGACTGGATAACCTATCAGGGAGCTCATCAGTGGAGAAAATGGGACTCCCTTCCTCAGCGGCCATTGATTGTCTGTAGCTCTTCATCTAAGGATGAAGTCTTGTGGCTTTTCCCCATCCATGTTGCCATGTCAACTAGTATGGTCACTGTGCAGGTCTTGTATCCATGTATTTTAATTTAAATTCTGCAGATGAGAGAAAACTCGCTGGATCTGAGTCTGGCTTGAATCATATTTTTGCTCCAGAAAGAACCAGTCCCTAAATGCAATGTAATAAAAATAAAATAACTAGC